AAAACTTTTTTTTTATATTTACATTCTTTTTTGGTACCAAGTCTTCAAAATCCACTGTGTATTATATATGCAAAGTACATCTCTATTTGAACTAGCCACATTTCAAGTGCTCAGTAGCCAACAAATGAGACACCGCATCTCGAGATCTCTCCCTTACTCTGAAATTTATACACTCACTTCAAGATGAAATAAGCCCCCTCCCCGCAAATCTTTATCCATCTGCCAAAGAAAGGAATTTGTCAAGCCCCTTAACCAGAGTCTAACAGGTAGAAAACTATCTCCTCAAGTCATACGTAACTACTCCGGGGATACCTGTTTTGAGGGTGCTGATGTAAATTCCCATTGCTTCTCTTAGAAGTTTCACCCCTTCTTCCTTCATTAAGGCCACGAGATTTGTGTCAGGCTCATCTTTGGCAAGGCTCACACTAATCTGAGTGAAAGATCAGAAGTAGGTGGTAAATAACTTGAGGGATATCCATTGTGGAACGTGGGTCTGAGCAATCAGATAACTTTTGATGTTTCCAAAGGAAACACGTGAGGGGTGGGGTATTCATACAATCCCCATTAGTGTTCCTTCTCAAGTTCTCTCTGCCAAGGCAAAGGTGGCTAATGTTAGAACCCACACTACTAGCTAAAGTCAAGTAAATAAGTACAAGCTGCTCTGGAAGCACCACTGACCTAGAAAGTCATCTGCAGACTGGGGTTCTGAACGCTTAGGTTCTGAACTAAAGCCAAGCCTGGGCTTTAATCTTGAATGACAGTTCATTTTTCTCATCTGAGATTAAGAGGATGTAGAAGACTGAGATAAGGAGTTAGGATGCACAAACCTCTACTTCATCCACCCTGTTTTCATCAGACAAATTGGGAATCTCCACATGTCCCTTGTACTGTACTCCAGACTTGGAGGTACCTGTCAAAAGCAACACAGTGTCATTAGTCTCCTCCTCTGCAGAAAGAGTCCTGATTACAACTCTGCTTCTACTTCTTTTGCACAACTGAGCGGACTCTCTCTATTCTGAGAAAATGCCACACACCAGATGCAACCAACCCTCCCTCACAAGAAATGTCTTTCCTCATCAAATTTCTTGACACCAACTGTGTTATTACCGTGTGGGACCAAGAGCTATGTGGATTCGGCACTTGCATGAATTCTGCCAGGGCGGGCTTGGGTCAACAGCCAAGACAGTTCTGCTAGAATGCTTATTTTGAGAATATGAATTTGTTCCAATGTGATTGATATATTAGGGGGCAATTTGGTCATAACATGAATTTCACATTTGCTTATACGGGATTTCATCCATGAGAAACACCAGGCGGACGCAAAAAACTACAGCCAGCTGAACTGAGCTGCATAGAATACAGAAAATACATCTCAAACATTTATCTGCCAGCAACCTCAGTTCACCATGCCTGTTACAAGCCACACCATCCAAAACTGGTGGGATGTTCCTTCTGATTTCAGAAGACATTCCCACCACTTCACAAAACGCCATAATCCGCAACCCTTCTGAGGCCACTTTCACAATTAAACTTCAATCTTCTTCAAGGTAAAGTGCCATACTTATTGTATTACTGATGTATTTCTTACATTTAACATGTGTAAAACTGTGCTACCAATTTTCACGTTCCCAAATTTTATAAAACTTGTCACTGATGGAAGCTTTTGGGTCCTGTGCTGTGTCCCTAACCCTCTCTTCCCACTAAGGCCTTTGGTTTTCACTGAGCAATTTTGCATAGTGCAATCATATTTAGGAATACGTATGTCACATTATAGAACTGTTATTTCAAAATTAATCAACAAAATGTTTATCTTCACTTCTCTAAGCCTCAGTCTCAATCTATGAAAAGAGAACTGGGCAAGATGATACCTAAGGTTCCTTTGACACCAGGGATTGGCAAACTTTTGAGATGAAAGAGCCATTCCTGTCCCTCACAACAATTTAAAAATTATTCGAAAGCCATAAAACAAATGAAATCATCTTTATGTGAATAATATCCTTTAAAAATCTTTATAAATGAAACTATGGTAGTTTTATTTTAATTTTCAATTTTACTTCAGAGCCACATGTATCTACCCAAAGAGCCGCATGTGGCTCACGAGCCTCAGTTTGCCGACCCATGTTCTAGACTATTATGCAAAACAAACTAACAAAAAAAAACCCTGATATAACTACTTTTTCCCTCTTTATTACCATTCATTTGAGAAATGTGTACAGAATTACAATTTATTTTATGCTTTGCCCCATACACTTACCTCTTTAGCTTTTTAGGGTCTTTTAAAATTTAGCTTCTCAACTGAAGGACCATCCAATTGGGGCATATGCATGGTCCTAATTCTTTGCTAAAATCATCACAGAGGGACATTAAACTAGAGGATAAAACTGCCCCAAATTAGTCACACACAAGTTTCGTTATCACAGTAGTGCAATCTGTTAGATTCACACTGGAGATCACAAGACCAAAAACATCCCCATCCCCACTTTTAAGTCATCCATGAAATAGAAGGAGCTAGTCTGAGGAAGTCATCTTACATGTACGAACATAGACCAAGGCCCCAAAATACAGGGGCCCACCTGCTTCACTGGTAGTGACTTGAGACCCAGAGAGAGAAAGCCCATTTAGTGTCCCACAGCGGCAGAGAAATTGCAGCATCTAATACTGCTTTCTATAGGACACCAAAGCAGCACCATCTCCCTTGAAAAGTTCATAACCTCTCAAAAACTGTTCTCCCCGGCTCCTTAACAGGTCAATCAAAATGCAGTTAGTCTCTTTCCTGCTAGCCCAGCATACACTCACCTGTCCAGTTTAGTTTGACACTCCACTCATAAAAGAAGATAAGTTTGCCTTTGCGATTGTTAATGGATGCCTCTCCATCAAGCTTGCTCACTTCTGTCACCTCACACTTGCCTTCCTCATTTTGCACCTGCACTGCCAGGAACAGTGTTTTCAGCTTATCCATGGACCAATTTGAGGCATCCCTCTCTGTCCTGCAAAACAGAAACAAAGCTATGAGCCAGCAGCCAAATGGATGGGTATGCTTCTTGTTTTATGCAAGAGAATGCAAGGCTAAATAAAGGAGACCTGACAATTTGAAAAGAAAAAGAAAAAAAACTTTCATTCCCACTCCAGTATGTCCACAAACAGGTCACTCTTTTTTAGGAAAACAAGGAGTCACATATTGTTGATAAAGACAACTGTACAGAATTGTTACACACTAAATGAGCATAACGGGGTGTGTGTGTGGGAGGGTGGGGACGGGGGTGGGGGTGGTTAGTATTTGACACTTTAACATGGTGCTGTTTGACCAAGTGAAAAACTGCACATCTTGCCGAAGTTAGGAGCACAGACTGGGCCATAGAACGCACTATTTAGTTAAAAAAAAAAAGTCCAGGAAGGAATAAACCAATAATCTTGACCCGATTAGCAGTGTTCTGATCTGTCCGTTCAGGCTCTGCTATAAACACTGTACACATCCTGTGCCCTGTAGATGACCATGAAAACAAAGTAAGTCCAGGGCTTCAAAACTAACAAGAATTAGGCCAAACCACTCCATGTATGTTAAGAGAAGAGGCTGGCTGACACACAAAGAAAACTCAGTTATCTGCCCCGCAACTTACTAACTAGTAGAGAAAACAAAGAGCTGCAAAACAAACACAGTTGAGGCAGTATTAACAAAGTTCAGTGGAGTTGAAAGAAAACTACTTCTGGAAGATTTCATGAAGGAGGGTAGGCTTTTAAGAGTGGTTAGGTTATAAAGCCAGGACTGCTCGGCAACCAGGGGCAGTCCCTGGAGTTATAACACAACTAACTTAACAGTTCCGGGTGAGAGGCTAAGACACCTTCAGCATCAGAGCTCTGAGCACCTGGAGAACACGTTCCAAACCTTCACTCTCTGGACTGAGGCAGTGGTTCCTATGACTTTTCATTTCCCCTGTATGCCGTAAAACAGGAATTCCAACCCCCGAGCCTTCAGCAATCTCCCAACACAATCCAAGGCCGTTTGGGTCTGTTTCCTCTGACCACGTGTGGGAAGCATCGCCCTGCTGAGGACGGACGCCGTAGCTAGGGGGTTATGTTCTCACCTCTATGAAACCCCTCCTTTGGGACTAGCCCTCCACGTTGCCCCCAGCACGCCAAATACTGAAACAGAGGCCGGGGAGCGGGAAGAGGACTGGGACTACGGACCTCTGCAACAAGAAGGACCCACCCCCATCTCTGGCCAAGGCTGCCTCGGTCCAAGCTTTGTCCGGGCCAGGGTTCCAGGGATCCCGCAGCTCTGGCCCGCCCGGCCGTAGTGCTCCCGCGGCCTGGCCCACTAGCCCTCACCAGTGCCAGTTGTTGACGTTGGTAGCGTCCGCCCGCTCCTCCACGATCCAGCGTGGGTCGCCCTCACCCCACTTGGCCATCGGCTTTCCTATCGCGCCACCAGCTCCCGAGCAGCCACAGCCACCACCTCCGTACCGCCTGGTCCCAGCCGCCGGATAGCGCCTGAAAACTACTAGAAGCGGCCGCAGAACCTTCTGGCTTGCTTTTCCCTCCACCCCCCGCCCCCTCCCCGCCTTAAGTTCCGGTTCCTCCTTACTCCCGCGGGTACTTCCGTTCCACCTCGCCGGACTTTAGCTTCCGCCTGTTCTAGGGTTCCTTCAGGCTCTCTCAGGTTATCCCCAAAAGAGCCCGAAATGCAACCGCTCACTCGACCGTTTCTAATCCGTAGGGATACAAAGAACACGTCTCATTGTTTCCCTGGACCCTGAACCGGCCCTGCTGAGCCTGCTGGGAAATGTAGTCTCGTTGAGTGACCCGCTAGATAAGCACGGAAGGTCACGCTAAAAGTAAACGCCCTAGGCACGGTGCGCTGGGGATTCTGGGAGCTGTAGTTAAAAAGCCCCGGGCCCTTCTGGGCAGCACCTGACGGCAGAGGCGGAAGAAACTACAACTTCCAGCATGTCCTCGACGCCTCTTCTTGCCACTCGTACCTTTTTCCGCCCCACCCCGTAAATATCCCTTTCCGCCCCTTTTCTACACTGCATTGCCAGTCTTAAAAGGCTTGTCCCTCGGCGGAAGAGTCTGGCGCTGGCGTGATTGGCAGGGTCCGGAGTCGAAGAGGTGAGGGTGTCCAAAACCCCTTGAGCCGCGTGTCTGGCTAAGTTCAGCCTCTTCGCATTCTGATTCTTTCCCCCTATTCTCCGAGGCGTTCCTAGAGCTCCCCATTCTCCGCCGAGGCCTGACTCTTCGAGTCCAAGCGACCTCGGGCTGGGAGACGAAGTACGCTCAGGGTCGGGGCTGCAAGTGATCCCCGGCACTTGATTTTGAATGAGTATTTAGTCTCCTAGGGATCCGCGGGACCCTGGCCACTGCCTGGTGGATCCGTGGCTTCCTGGACGTTCGCCCATAGTTTAACTCACATTCCCTTATCTCAATTCTTAGCCTCACCTATGGAGGCCTGGGTTGGAAGAGGATAACTGAATCCGAATCTCCCTTCTCAGTAACTGATTTCTGGAATGTCCTGAGGCAGGGAGCGTGTTGGTTGTGGATTTTTCATTTTTATTTTTCGCTCATCCCTCGTTTTCCTTCCTTCCTTGTGTACCCGTACCCTCCCAGGATGTGTTGCCTTACCTTAGGGGCTCTTAGTAGACAGGAGTTTCACGTTGAAACGCCTTTTTCAGTCACTCTTAAAATTGTCCCTGGTTGGTTTATCACTTCTAGAGCTATGAAATCATTACCTCTTTACTTGGCAAGTAAATCTAGGTTCTGATGTGGCACTAGAAGTGCAAATTGGTGTCATGTATCCACCAAGTTTGCGTGGTCAAAAAAAGATTTTACAAGTCTTCTGGTAGATTATTTGGCTTGTTAGACATATTCTATGCCTATCTGTAGGTATTTACAGATATTTATTTACTATAGTGAGGTAATGACCTGCCCAAGTTTTTCCTAGAGTGAAAAATAGAAGGACCATGCAAGTCAGAGTGGAAATGATCCAGGAACCAACAAACCAGAATCATAGGAGCAATTAGCAAGGTAGCTTTGATACCTAATCCTTTTGTGCCTTGTTCCTCATCAGTGAAATGGAAGTAGAATCTGCCAGGCCTAGCTTACAGGGTTGTTCTGAGGATGACAAAGTAGGTGCTTTATATACTGGCACTGTGCCAGAGACATTTACAGTATGATGGCCACTCAGAATTTTGATATCAAATTAAGCTTTTAATCTTGAGGATTGCTTAAAAAATATTTTCTTTCTAGCTTTTATCAAGAAACCATAATGATTCGATAATAAAAGTTAATACTGAGCATTAATTTTGTGTCAGGCATGTGTTGGGTTGTCAGAAAAGTCATGACGTATTCTGTTTTTCATTGCAGAAATGCGTCATGGCTTTTCTCACAACCCAATATTAACTGGGTTAAGCCTCACAACAATCCTAAAAGGTAGATTCCTATTGCTAATGCTCATTTTACAGATGAAACTGAAATAGGAAGATGTCAGTAAGAGAGCCTATACTAAATGAGGAACTAACATTTAGCATTTACTTTTTGCTAGGCACTTTATAAGGTATTTCCTGAGTCCTGTTTATTCCTCACTGCAACCTTGTGTAGGCAGGATATCATTTTCTCCAAGGCTTAGTAAAATTATTTACCCAGTCTGCTCAGAACTGGAGAAACTTAAGATTTGAACTTAAGGCTATCTTGCTACAAAGCCTATGCTTATACATTACGAGAAATTATTTCATTGTGCCTGTCAGCTTTTTTCATTTGGTTTTGACTTCCTGGAATTAAGTATTCAAAAGAATTTCTAAGCTACATCTGGGTCCAGTAGAAATCAATTAGTGATGTCTGCCACGGGAAGGGATCAGGTAGCAGAAAATTCCCAACCATACTTTTGCCATCCTTATAGCCCCAGAAAACACTATGTAGCCTTTGGAGTTATTTTTGGTGCTATGAAAATTTTGGACCTAATTCCTGGCTTACACCAGTTTTCACTCTAATCCAATTGGCATTGATAGTTTAGTTTGTAGTTCTAGGGTGAATTTTTTTCTTCAGAGTAAAATCTAATTTTAGAGTAGTTAGGAGAGGGATTTGTGGTCTTTTGACGAATTCTTTATATATTTGGTTTTTTTTGGCCATGCCCTCATTTCCTAAGTTTGGGCAGATACTTGCCAATAAATTAATCAAGATTTGAAGATACAGGCAGGATAATTCTGCTGCTTTTAATTGCTTTGCTTTCATTCTTTCAGGCATTTAGCAAGCATACATGAGAGCAAGATATTTGTCAGTTTTATTCACTGCAGTATTCCCAGAGCCTAGAACAGTGCCTCAGAGTTGGCATTCAATAGATATATGTTGAATACATTAATACAATTATGGTGTTTTGTTCATGATCAAAGTTGGTGACACATTCTTATAACACTTGCCTGCCTTATAGTTTTACCTTTATACATACCTATGCTGAATACTCCAGCTCTTGTGTAGGGTCCTTCAGGAGAGGGACTGTGTCTTGTATTTTTAAAATATTCCTTGCAACACCTGAGAGAGTGCCTGGAACAAAGTAGGTGTTCTAGGAATGAATGATTACTTGTGGGTAATTAGAGGCTCAAAAGTACGCTTTGATCAATTGGAGACCCAAGGATCTGAGTATCTGGCGGGCTCAGTATTTACTTTACCAGATTATTTTATACATCCTGATTACTGGGGGGGAGGTTGTATGTTTTTGGGGGGAGCCCAGAAAGGGACATATCTGTCTTCCTCTTACTCCAGATGAGTAGGACAAAGGGGGATGAGGAGGAATATTGGAACAGCTCCAAATTCAAGGCTTTCACCTTTGATGATGAAGATGATGAGCTCTCACAGGTAGGCTTCCATGACGTTTGCTGAAGGTCGCGTCCTCTTCCACGGTGCCGCTCTAAAATTCCTTCCCTTTGCATCCATGGTAACCTGGCTTTTGACCATGTCTCCATTAGGTCAGAAATGTTTTGGGTCAGATCTTTAGAAAGATGTTCATGGATAAGATCCCTCATAAAAGAGCCAGAAGGATTGTAAAAACCAATGCTGCCCTTCTTTATGTTCTTAAGATGATTGATTTTTTTCTGTTTTCTTACCCCCAAGACCCCATATCTTTTTAATCATGTAATATAATTTATTATACTGGAAAGATGGACTGGGTTGGAAGTTTTGTCTTTTTTGTGTCTGTCTTACAAATAGGGAAACAGATTCACTTTTGGAGAGGTAGATAAATTCACTCAGGTTTACACAGCAAGGCATTGCCAGGAATATGATTATAACTCAAAAGTGGCTCTGCTTCCTCTAACTCTTTTGCCACTGGACTGCAATGTTAGCTAAAAAGCAATTTGTTTTCTTGGCAAATACCTAGCAAGATAGACTTCCGATTACAGAGGGGGAAGTGTGGGCCATCTTCAAGTTCCAGTTCCTCAGCCTTCTTGGTTGTCAGGGAGAGAGGTGGGAAGGGGTGATTGCCTGAGTGTCCTGCCTTATGTTCCTCTGCAGTTGAAGGAATCCAAACGGGCCGTAAATAGCCTTCGAGACTTCGTGGATGATGATGACGATGACGACCTGGAGAGAGTCAGCTGGAGTGGGGAACCCGTGGGAAGTAAGTGGCAGAGGCCCCAGGAGGGCATTGGTATTCAGGGTTCTTGTCACTAATGCAGGCTCTGTTTGTCTCTTTACTGCCTGTCAGGAAAGGGAATGAGGTCAGGCTATTTTCCGATGCGCACATCTGGAAATTTAACCCCAGGAAAAGACCCTTGGGGAAATACAGCAGTAGTTCCTGTATGGCTAGGTCTGCTGTCCTAGAGCTTGGCTGGCTATTTCAGACTCCTTTGGAGTGCTTGTTAAAAACAGATTCCTAGGCCTCACTCCAAAGACTGATTCAGTAGGTGATGGGGTTGGTGTGGAGGAGGTCTCAATTTGTAATAAGCACTGCAAGTACTTCTAATACGCAGTCATATTTGGGAGCTACCGACTTAAGTGCTCATAACTGGTTGGCAGCACTGACTGACTTCTCAGCCACCAAGTCTCGCTGCCTAGCGGTTATATGATAACCACTTAACACCTTTGCAGAGTTGTTCTGATGCTTAAGAATATTTTTAAAGGTTTTTTAAAAAATAGGGAATACTGTCACATGATTTAAAAATAAAAACGTGTTTAAGGCATACAGCCAAAGGTGTCCCTCCCACACTGCCATGCATCTTCTCCGTTCCCAGGCCTTAACCCTCCCAGAAAATAACTGCTGTGCTTGCCGCCCGTGTGTTCATCAAAAGATTCTTTTTATGTTTGGAAATGCATATAGGAAAAGTGCTGGCATACTTTATACGCTGCTCTTTTCACTTGATCATATGGCTTCGAGATCTCTTCATATCAGCACATGAAGAGCGATTCTCTCTTTCTTATAATAGCAGTAAGGTATTTTTTTTTTTAACCATAATTTATTTGACCAGTTCACTATTGATAAATTTTAGATTGTGTCCAATGTTTTCTTTATTTTGCTATCAATAACCTTGTTGATATCAAGGTTATCTGCCCACACATTACTATATGAAAAATCAAGTCCTAGAGTGGAATTATTGGTCTTTGCATCTGTATTAGGTAGATGTTGCCAAATTGCCTTCTGTAGGGGTTGCCCAACTTTGTGCTCCCATCAGCAATGTCAGAGGGTTCCTGTTTCCCAACAGCCTTGCCAACACAGGGTGTTATTGAACTTTGGGTCTTTGCCAGTCTTAGAGGGGACCATTGGTATCTCGGTGTACTTTTAATTTATGTAATTATCTTATTAAGAATGAGTTTGAGCATCTTTTCTTATGCTTAATAGCCACTTAAATTTCCTGTTCTGTGATCCATTTTTTCACTTCTTTTGCCGTTTTTTTTGTTGATGAGTCTATTTGATTCTGTCCTTTTTCCCTGCCCTGATTTTTGGAGTCCATGTCAGCCAAAGGACCCGGGCCTCTGATGAAAAGTTTTAGAGTTTGTTGGAATGCTTGTTATCCAGGATTTATTTGGAGGAGAATGACTGATGTAGTTCTTACTATCTCGCAGGTATCTCATGGTCCATCAAAGAGACTGCTGGTACTAGTGGGTCAAACCATGAGGGGCGTGAACAGCTCAAGAGCCGAAGCAGCTCCTTGTCCTATGCGCAACTCCCCAAACCTCCTTCTACCTACTCCCTGAGCAGCTTTTTTAGAGGTAAAGAGTGATGCTTAATATGACAGGGAGTCCTTTTCCTTTTTCAATAATGCTCAGGCTATAGTTTTCATTTACCATGGAAGAAAAATATTGAAGGATAAAGAATTATCTTGGCTGTGCCC